CCTCGTCGAGCTGGGGCGATGGCCTCGTCGGCCATCCACTCCCGCACGCTCGCCGCCTGCTGTAGGCGCACCACGGCGGTGTTGAGCTGCTGTTTGAGGTTCAGCGCGACCGCGGCGAGCTCGGCGAGGATGCGGTGCGTGCTCGCGTTCAGGTCGATCCCGAGGTCGGTTTTCAGGCGGAACGGCACCTCCCGCGGGCGCGGCGTCAGTGGGGCCTCGGCGTCGGCGTCGGCGTCGGCGGAACCCCCCCCCGCCCCGCGCGCCGGGCGCCCGAGAAAGCGCCGCTCGTAAATGTACTCGTCGCGCTGTCGGAGGGTGTTCTCGAGGTGGGCGATGCGCTGGCGAAGCTCCGCGGCTTCGGTGCGGAGGCCGGTGATCTGCAGGCGGTAGGCGCTGCGCTCGTCAAACGCGCAGGTGATTAATTCCCGCTGGAGGGTCAGGCGGGAAAGTTTCATCTCCGCCGCGGCGGCCTCGATGAAATCCGGCGCGAGGTGCGGAAGGGGGGTGAGGGCGCTGCCGTGGACCAGGGCCTCGTCGGGGCCGCGCTCGCCGTCTTCCCCTGATTTCCCCGCGGAGGTGGCGAAGGCGTAAAGATCGTCCTTCGCCGGGGGGACCGGCAGGCGATGCCGCACCAAACACCCTTCTAAATCCTCCACCCGCTTGCTCAAAAGCCCGTTGGTGTTGAAAACGGCGGCGATGAGCTGGCGGAAGGAGGCAAACTCCTCCTCCTTCCGCTCGCACACGTTGAGGCGGCGGAGAAGCTCCTCCTTGAGTTGGTTGAGCTCCTCGTCGCGCTCCTTGCGCAGCAGCATCCCTTCCGCCTTGAGCGCCTTGATCGTCGCCTCCATCTCCCCTTTCTCGCGCAGGATGGCCAGTAGTTTGTCCTCAAAGAAGGATTCGAATCGCCTGTAGATCTCCAATTCGAGCTTCTCCAGGGTTGTCTGGTGGTGCGATTTCATCGTTTGGATGGTGTTGAGCAGCTCGCAAAGGTATCGATTGAGTTGATGGCAAATCGACCGCAGCCCGGGGTGTAGGCGGGCAAGTTCCCCGATCACCCGGCGAACTTCGCCATTTCGCTGCGTGTCGTCGCTTCGGCGGACCGAAATGCTCCGCGTGAGGTACGCGTCGAGGTTCTCCAACTTTTGTTTTTTCGACACCGCATCGAATACCGTCAGGGGCGGGGAGGAATCGGGAAAGAGCGGATGCGGGGGCTCGTTGGGGGTCGTTTCCCGCGTTTTTCCGCTTTCCCCACTGGTGAGTCGTTTGACGTAGGCTTTTGCCCGCTCGAGCGCGCGGCGGTTGGTGTTTTTCCCCTCCCTTTCTTCGCCAGTCGAGGCCAGGTCGAAGGGGCCCATCGCGGAGGGTAGTGGGGCGCCGTCCGATTCGTTCAGCGGGATGATGGTTTCGAGATCCGACGTGGCATCGCCGGTGAAAACCGCCGTTGTCGGACGGCGATTGCACTGAGCCTCAATCAAAGACCTCTCTTGGAGGCCATGACGATCAATATACAAGATGGGTAGGACGCCATTTTTTTTTGATGTGTGCATGATACTCACCTAACTGTGTTAGTCGTGTGAATTGGTTGGGGAGAAAAAGAAAATGGTAGAGAATCGCACGTTGTGCGCGTAGAAATGGTGCATAGTGTGGTTCATAACTCCTCTTTTTATTCCGTTTAAAAGTCATTATGACATCA